GAGAGCTGCACGCGACCGCGCGGATGGTGTTAGCATAAACGTGAGGGCGGTGTAGCAAGGAATTACGACTTTCCCACGGCCCCGTACTCTGACCCCGTGCAGTTTTGGGCGGGGGGACCACGACACATCGACAGCTGGGGGCTGATAGTCTCATACACCCTCAATGTGTTTGAGCGTACCATGTGTCTTTAAGTGAGCTTATCCGATGAGTGTTTGAAAATCGTGCCCTCTTCAGGAACTTGATATGCTAAGCATGGGCTCAGCAGGTCGTTCCGTTTTGCAAGGACCTCAGCTTCCCTGTCAGCTCCGCAACGTCATCGTTCCAAGGTTCGGTTTTCAGTTAAAACTTTTCATTTGTGAAATATTCATTCTCCGCAGGTTTGAAGGTTTTTTACCTCTTCAGGTCTTAACGTGGGTTTATAGATCCTACCTGACTAACTAATAAGAAAAAAAAATCAAACGGGACGTCGACATCGGCCGGAGTGATTGATTTTCGGCACTGGACGAGCGATGTGAATAGGGAGGCCGGGATACTCAGAGCCCGTGCCAGAGCCACACACACACCATACAGCATAGAAAATATTGGGTTGAAGCATGTTTTTTTAACCCGCGTGTTTGTTGCGCTTCCGTTGTGCATTATCTTAAATCTAACAGCTACTCTTACGCCCATCTTGCATCTGGCAGTCAACAAATGTCGACACAATTACCACTGGACAGAATGTAGCGCTGCGCCAACTTCTTGTTTTGCTTCACGATTCACAAAGAAGCCTTCACTTTCTCTAACTCGGGCTTATCAACTGAGATGAGAAGTGGGTCCTCTACGATAACCCTGTGAGGAAGCGGCAGTGGGTCGACAAAGGAGAACAGCCAGAAGCCACCCCAAAGGCCGACCTTCACCCCAAAAAGGTTCTCCTGTCCTGTTGGTGGTCCAGAAGAGGCATGGAGTACTGGGAGCTGCTGGAGAAGGGACAGACGATTGACGCTTCCACATACGTGACCCAGCTGCGGAAATTGAAAGATCACGTCGACCGTACTCGTGGATCGAATGCGGAAATCTACTTCCACCATGACAACGCCCGACCTCACACCGCAAAGGTGACCCAGGACCCAGGCCGAGCTGGAGAAGTACGTATGGCTGATGGTTGCCCACCTCCACCTCCCCCCTCCCCCTGCCAACCCCCTACAGCCCTGACCTCGCTCCTTCTGACTACTGGCTGTTCAGCCACCTGCAGCGCTCTCTGGACGGAAAAAAGTTCGAAACAAAGGATCAGGTCAGAAAGGCACTCGACGACTTCTTCAAGTCCCAGCCCCTGTCGTTTTGGAATGATGGAGTCCACAAGCTGCCTGAGCGCTGGCGTCGAGTAGTGGATGGTTGATGAGTCGCACTACCTCTAATGCTTCAGTTGGTATCGCATTTTGAGATATTTACAAAAAAACTCGGGGTCATAAACATATGCATCATCCTAATCATCATCATCATCATCATCCTAATCATCATTATCATCTACTCCAGTGCACATTAAAAAGTGCTCAGGACTTCTCGGACAATACAATGCTAAGGCACCATCTTTTGCAGATCTTCAGTGGCAAGAGGGCCATATTTGACCGTTGAGGTGGTTTGGGAGGAGGGGAGGGGTCACGATGAGAGGGGCAACCAGTACCGAGCAGCGCAAGGGTGTCAGTATTGCTTGGTCCAATAAATTTGCTATGGACGAAGTTTTAGCCATCGCTACCTCGCTAGCGCTCTTGTCACATTATGTTGAGTAAGAAGTGGTACTCCCCATGCAGCTGCGGACCTGTGCTCCTTACATGCCAAAAGGATTCCTTAACTGGACGGCCCAATCGCTCAAGTAATCACGGAGTGTGTGTTTTAACCTCATTATGCTGGTCGTGTTTTGTGATGAAGCGAAGCAATAAGTTGTTTCAAAAAATTCGAAAAGCTGTTGAGTAATTGATCGTTTAAGGTGTGACGGTGGTGTCGCCTCGTCAAGTGACGCATCATCGTCGTCGTCCTGCTCCCCATCATCCACCGAAAACCTCCACCATCAACAACATCGGCAGCATCAGCAGTTGTTGAAGGGCAACGGTGAGGTTGTAGTTTTCTATTCACAAAATAGGAGAACCCCGCTACTATCGAGTTAATGGTCCTTTCTGTGATGTGAATTTCCAAGAATCAATTGTTCCTTGCTTAGTGCGAGCTTGAGTAAAAATTGTAGCACTGCTTTCTTACTTGATTTCACCATTTGAGTGGCATTTTATTTCTGAACCGGTCATTTTCACCATAAATATTTCTGGTCTCGGCGGGGATAGAAATTTGAGCAGGAGCCCTTCCGAAGACTTGACCCCTACCTCCGAGCGAAAGTACACACCGCCACCCTCTTTCTGCGGCTGAGTATACCTCAGCTTCCCGATTTATTGCGATTTTGAGAAGATGCGATAAATGTTGTGTTTAGATGCGTCAGTTGACTCTAATGTAGCTTCTATTCCAAATCATTCCGTCAAGCACGAACCGTCGGATGCGGATTTCCCAGTGGACGGTCCCAATGGTTCTACACATCGGTTACCCATGCAACCAATGTCCTTGCACTTGGGTAAGTTATAGCAATTTACTGTACTCCTACTCGATTTTCTCCAGCGTTTTTTATCACTGTTGACCCCAGTTTGCGGTGCTCCTACGTTCGATGTTTCAAAGCTTGAGAAAACCAAATGAGTTTACATACTTCGCGAGGACGTGATCCACCCCTGCTCTCTCGAATCTCTTTCTTGCCTCTTGTGAAAATGTGAAAAAAAATCTGTTGTTAACGTCGTGGACCGCGGACCG